AAATTTCATTTAAGTAGCCTTGATTGCAAATAATTTTTTCTTATCCTTTTGCCGTTTACGTTGTTGTACCCACAGCATCTAGGGTCTTGCTTGGCTATATTTGGCGTGAATGACACCAATTTTTTTCGAAGTGACTCTTAATGTTATCTGAAAATGTCTAATCTTATTTTGATTTTGGGTTGCCATAGACACATCGCCATGCATATTTTTTTATCAGTATAACCTCTTTAGTTTCGTTCAATTATTAGCATAACAAAGCACATTAAACCGGACTCAGTTATATGCTGAAATTTCAATAGGATTCATATACGTATTTGATATTTCAAGACATTTACCTGCTTTTCTTATATAACAGGATAACTTTGACTACGAAACTCTTGATGATTTAATTAACGGTATACTAACCAACGAGGAGATAATCGGCTACATAATTCATATAGATGTGCTTCCCTTACACAGTGTGGCTTTGCACGCTGGGGTTGACTTGATCCAGTTATCCGAATTAACATTGAGGCTTCTTCGCCGTGGTTATCTTCAAAATTTGGACATGTTTCCTCTGCGGCATACTCTTGGCCTTCAGAATATTTCTAAGTTTGATCCTTCAACTGCTCAAGAGCAAATTATGCCACTTTCAGAAGCCAAGGGAGCCAACGCTGGCGAAAATATTAAATCGTGTTCAGGAAAAAGTAAAAAGAAAAACAGACAGCCAGATTCGGATTCTAAAGTTATTTCTCAGAAAATTCAGCCAACACAGGGTTACCATTCAAAGACGTTAGATGCTATATTTCCTAGACGTATCTTGGCCGTTGGGGTAACAACGTTTGTCGATCGAACAGCCGAAATAGCCCCCAATGCCAGGCTTGTTGGAGCCTGCTTCATTGGTCCTGGGTGTCGAATATCACAAAACTGTCTTCTCGTCGATTGCATTATTGGCCCCGGGTGAGTTTTTTAAGTGTATGCCTTTCGTTTTTTTTCAAGCTTACGATATTTAGGACTTATTGAGTTCTAATATTTTTGTTTTATCTGATTCTTAAAGCGATGCAAAATAGTTTAATTAGTTTACGTGCATGCTTTTGTGCGTTCCAGCTAAAGTTTCTAGTTGTTAATCGAAAATGCTGTAAGCTGTGAACTTAGCGAGCTCTTATTTGAGGCAGAATTTTGTTAAAGTGTACTTTAACGAAGAACACTGAATTTTGTGGCCTGTCCCTTACGTTAGTAAATTTCCCCAAATTAGCCCGAAATAGTTCCTTTATATGACTCGCCCAGTCATTTTCATATTTTTATAATTGCTTGATATAATACAATAAAATTCACTTTTTAAGTTTTTCAATTTAGTTAAAAACTTCATTAGAACTTACACATTAAATATATCTGATATTAGGAAATGGTCAATAAGCTGTAAATACTATTATATGCAATATCTAAAGTCTTATTCCCCCATCGCATTATTTTTAGTTCGAAAAAAGCTGTATTAATCTTGGGATACGTAAGAATACATTATGTATTTTAGGTCATAATGAACTGATTCCCTGCAAATGTCACCCTTGTCCTGGAAACATATAGCTACGACCCTACCATTAAATTTACAA